CCCACAAATAGGACATTCAAAAGGTTTCTCTCCTGTGTGAGTCCTCTGGTGTATTACCAGGCTGGAATTGAGACTGAAACATTTTCCACAATCAATACATTGAAAAGGTTTTTCTCCTGTATGGCTCCTCTGATGTTTCACCAGGCAGGAATTCTGACTGAAACTTTTTGTACAATCAGGACACTCAAAGGGTTTCTCTCCTGTGTGAGTCCTCCGGTGTATTACCAGGCTGGAATTGAGACTAAAACGTTTCCCACAATCAACACATTCAAAGGATTTTTCTCCTGTGTGAATCCTTTGGTGTTTCACAAGGATAGAATTCTGACTGAAACTTTTTGCACAATCGGGACATCCAAAGGGTTTGTCTTCTTTGTGAGTTGTCTGATGTTTCAGCAGGCTGGAATTGTGGCTGAAACTTTTTGCACAATCAGGACATTCAAAAGGCTTCTCTCCTCTATGAGTTGTCTGGTGTATCACCAGGCTGGAATTGTGACTGAAACTTTTCCAACAATCAGGACATTCAAAGGGTTTCTCTCCTGTGTGAGTTCTCCGGTGTATCACCAGGCTAGAATTGTGACTGAAACCTTTCCCACAATCAGGGCATTGATACGGTTTTTCTCCTTTGTGAATCCTTTGGTGTTTCCCCAGGCTGGAATTGTGACTGAAGCTTTTCCCACAATCAGGACATTCAAAGGGTTTCTCTCCTGTGTGAGTTCTTTGGTGGTTCACCAGGCTGCCGTACCTACTGAAACCTTTTCCACAAATAGGACATTCAAAAGGTTTCTCTCCTGTGTGAGACCTCTGGTGTATGACCAGGCTGGAACTGTGACTGAAACGTTTCCCACAATCAGGACACTCATAGGGTTTCTCTCCTGTGTGAATCCTCTGGTGGTTCACCAGGTTGGAATTCTGAGTGAAACTTTTGCCACAATCAGGACATTCAAAGGGTTTCTCTCCTGTATGAGTCCTCTGGTGATTCACTAGATGAGATTTGTGACTGAAACGTTTCCCACAATCAGGACATTCATAGGGTTTCTCTCCTGTGTGAGTCCTCTGGTGATTCACCAGGTGGGAATTCTGACTGAAGCTTTTCCCACAAACCAGACACTCATACGGTTTCTCTCCTGTGTGAGTCCTCTGGTGACTCACTAGATGGGATTGATAAATGAAACATTTCCCACAATCTGGGCACTGGTGCAGTTTCTCTCCTGTGTGAGTCCTCTGGTGCATTACGAGGTCATAATTCTGACTGAAACTTTTCCCACAATCAGGACATTCAAAGGGTTTTTCTCCTGTGTGAGTGCTCAGATGTTTCATGAGGCTGGAATTGTGACTGAAACCTTTCCCACAGTCATGACATTCAAAGGGTTTGTCTCCTGTGTGTGACCTTAGGTGTCTCGTGAGGTGGAATTTTCTATTGAAACTTTTTCCACAATCAGGACATGCAAATGATTTCTGTCCTGTGTGAGTCCTCAGATGATTCCCTAAATGGGATTTTTGACTGAAACATTTACCACAATCTGGACACTCATAAGGTTTCTCTCCTGTGTGAATCCTTTGGTGATTCACTAAATGGGATTTTTGAATAAAACTTTTCCCACAATCTGGGCAGTCATGCAACTTCTCTCCTGTGTGCATCATTTGGCGTATCACCAGGTCATAATTTCAGTTGAAACATTTCCCACAATCGGGACATTCAGAGGGTTTGGTATCTTGTGAGGTGAAATTTTCTAATTAGACTTTTGTCACAATCTGATTTCTTTACTATGTGAGTCCTCTGGTGGGAATTCTGACTGAAACTTTCCCCACAATTTAGATACTTATGTGATTTCTGCCCAATATAAATTATCTGGTGTTTCACCAAGTTGGCATGCATGTTAAAGCTCCATTCCTGTATGAGTCCTTCCATCAAGCACAAGGGGCTGTTTTGATCAAAGCTTTTCCCACATTCAGAGTGTTTGTGAATTCAATGTTAATCATGTTAATCATTTTCTGCATAATCAGCCATGATTTGGAGTCTGTATTTTTCCCCACAATATGCATATCGGTGGAACTTTCCCACCATGTGTGATACCTTGTTTAGTTGTGCTTTGATTGCAGCTACTGTTCCCTTCCTTATAGGGTGATGTCTGCTTCACTGTCTGCCCTATGCGGCTGTTCAATTGACCTTTTCCTCCCCACTGACATCCTGACATTGCCCTCTTTTTCTGAATGGAAAAATAATCTCCCTTGACTTTTCATGAAATGTATCTTTAAGTTCCACACACTCCACATTTTTCTGCTCAATCTCTCTGGCTAATTTCTTCTCCTTTGCTGCTCACCTACTAGGGAAGCAGAAGAATTGTGTGGTTTCTGTAGGAAATGGAAAATATTTTGATTTCTGGCTTGATTTGTTTTCCTTTTCAAAGTTGCTTGTTATTCTCAGTTTTCCAGACTGTTCTTATTGGCATCCTCTTTCCCTGTAAGATTCAAGTAAAAATGTAACTTTAATTATTTATGAATGGTTGCATATGATGTCAAAAAAGGAAAAAAAAGTTTACATTACAGATAAAAAACAAACATGCCACAATGCTAGAATAGTCTCTTATATTAGTTATTATTCATTTGATACCCTGAAGATTACCAAGTTCACGTAGCCATTCAATCATGAAATTCTCTTTTTGACTTGAATCAATCGCAGATTCTTAGAATGGCAATTATTGGGTAGAATCTCTGTAATTAAGATGAATAGAATATAGAATAAGAGACTATTCTAGCATTGTGGCATTGTTTGCTTTTTACCTGTAATGTAAACTTTTTTCCTTTTTTAACATCATATGCAACCATTCATAAATAATTAAAAGTTACATTTTTTATTGAATCTTACAGGGAAAGAGGATGCCAATAAGAGCAGTCTGGAAAACTGAGAATAACAAGCAACTTTGAAAAGGAAAACAAATCAAGCCAGAAATCAAAATATTTTCCATTTCCTACAGAAACCACACAATTCTTCTGCTTCCCTAGTAGGTGAGCAGCAAAGGA